CAGCAGAGACAACATCGGCAGCAGCAGAGACAACATCGGCAGCAGCAGAGACAACATCGGCAGCAGCAGAGACAACATCGGCAGCAGCAGAACCATCAACGGCAGCAGCAGGAACATCAACACCAATTGCTGGTCCTTCAACGACACCAAACCTCATCGACGACACACCACCGACACCCTCGCAACAATTACACCCAGCACCACGAGAAGTTCATCGCAGCGCCAACTTCACCGCCAACTTCTACTCCAACTCCGATATGTACCGACGATCACCCGGACATCGAGCCGACGAAAGCACCTGGCATGCAAGGATGGGACACCCAAGCAACACAGTATTAAACAATACGATAAGAGCAGGAGTGCTCGACAAGGACTCACTCCTACTGACCGACGGACGAGAACTTCAACGAGTACGCGGAACGTGCCTCACCTGCCCTGAAGGTGACTTACCACATCGACCGTTTGCGTCTCATCACAACCCAAGCGCACCCGCGTACGCACCACTCGAGAAGGTGTACAGCGACATCCTGTACAATCGGGAACCAGGACAAGTAATATACAACTATACAATCACCTTCATCGACGCCGCCACCCGTTACGTCTGGCACCTAAACCTCCCTAGCCGCGACATGGCATTCGCAGCCTTCGTGGCCTGGCTACCAGTAGCAGAGAGAGAATCGGGCGTGAAACTGAAAAGCTTCCAGTCAGACGGAGGAGGAGAATACACCTCTCAGCGATTCAAGCAGTACCTGGCGGAAAGGGGAATCAAGCGGCTCATCTCCCTTCCCTACGCCCATCAGCAGCAGGGTGTAGCAGAAAGAATGAACAGGACCTTGCAGAACAGCATGCGCAAACTGTTACGTGGCATGCGGCTACCCAACCACCAGTGGCCTGCAGCAATGGACCACGCCGTCATGCTGCACAACTTGCTGTCGTCATCATCGCTTCCGAACAACGCATCACCGCATCTGCTATGGACAGGGAAACAGGGCAGCACAAAACTGTTACGAGTATTCGGATGCATGGTACAGTACCGACCCCCAGCAGCACGAGCGGGCCGATTTTCTCAACGAGCACAGTGGGGACTACACCTGGGAATCGAAAAGAACTACAACGCGTGGAAAATCTTTGACGTCCACTCCAAGGAAACAGTAGCAGCACGTGATGTAATTTTCTACGAACGACTCACGCTCGAGACATACCTTGCCAACCTGCACGAAGACCAGGATCCCACAGGTGGTTTTCGTGGTGACCGAGCCTTCGCCTCAGCAGCGGACGAAGCTGACTGGGACGAGCAGAATGTGGACAACGCATCAGCAGAAGCCGGACCTCTTCCGTTCTGCTCCGTCGACGTTCCCATGGACGAAGACAACCCTCGCGAAAGTGCCAACGCCGAAACCTTCTACCATTTCGCCGACAACGGTTACGTAACACCTGCGACGGTCAACACCAACGAAGCAGAACGAGTAGGACCGAACTTCATACCTGATCCAGAAGCGGGAGATGAAGCAGCTTATCCCGAGGACGTAAATCTTCCCCGCTACTCACAGAGTGGACTGCAGATTCTTGGACTCGTCACCGCAGTCCACGGCACCGCCACTCCTAAAGAGCCTGCGACGGTTCAGCAGGCTCTGGGGGGGGAACATAAGGAAAAATGGCGCGAAGCCATGGACAAAGAACTGAAGGCACTGGAGGAACGCAACACGTGGAAAGTGGTTCCTATCGGCGTGGCACGGAACAAGACAGTGCTCATCGGCAAGTGGGTCTTCCGTGTGAAGACAAAGGCTGACGGCACCATCGACAAATTTAAGGCACGCTGGGTCGTACGCGGCTTCGACCAAGAGCACGGACGCGATTTCACCGAAACATTCGCTCCGGTCAGCCGACACACCTCGCTACGCATCCTTCTCGCGATCGCCGCCATGAAGAAGAAGAAGCTGCGGCAAATCGACGTCGCTAACGCATTCCTCTACGCACCTGTTGACGCAGAGATCTTCGTCGAGCTACCACACGGCTCCAGCACGGACTCGAACCACGTCTGTCAACTACTCAAGTCGCTCTACGGCATCAAGCAAGCTCCGCGACTATGGCAACAATACCTACACGCTCGCCTCATTCGCATCGGCTTCAAGCAATTGCCGCACGACCAGGGCATGTACCGGCTCACGAAGGGTACCGACTACATCCTGCTAATCGTCTATGTAGACGATCTGCTCTACATCGGCTCAACTGACGGCATTACAACTTGGTTCGAAGGGGAGCTACAGCAAGACCTCACACTCACGGTCTCATCTACCGTCACACAGTACCTCGGCCTCAACATCCGGGAAGAGGAAGACGCTATCTACCTCAGCGCCGCGAAATACGCCGACACCATCGCCAAGCGTTTCGCACTCACACCGACTGTCATCTCCACACCGTACCGCTACACGACAGCAAACAACAAGGAAGGCTCCGCTCTACTCAAGCCCGCCGGCATACGCGACTACCAGAGAAAGCTGGGCTGCCTTCTCTTCGCAGCTGTCACCTGCCGCCCAGATCTATCCTACTCTGCAAGCCAGCTCGCCACCCACCTCAAGAAGCCTGAAGCGGAACATCTGGCGGAGCTCGACCGCGCTCTTCACTACCTTGTCAGTACCCCGACGGTCGGCCTGACTTACCATAAGAACGCAACTACAACGCCTAAGCTAATCGGTTACGTCGACGCAGATCACGCGAGCGACTTCGACAACAGACGATCGCGCACCGGCTACATCTACCGCTTCGAGCCTATCGGACCTATCTCCTGGCAATCGAGCAAGCAGGAATTAATTGCTCTCTCGTCAGCTGAAGCAGAATATATTGCACTCTGCTCAGCCACCAAGGAAGGACTCTATCTTCGCGAGCTGCTGGAAGAAGCGAAGTTAGCCGAGTTACCCAACTTTACCCTGTTCTGCGACAACCAATCGGCAATTCGCATCGCCAACAAGAACGGCTTCGCGAACAGGACGAAACACATCGCCCTGCGATATTTCTTCGTGAAGGACGAGATCGAGAAGGGAAGGCTCGAGCTGTCATACTGCCCCACGTCCGAGATGGCAGCTGACTACCTGACCAAGAAGCTCGGAAAGCAGAAGTTCGAATACTGCATGCTGCTGACTGGACAGAGCCACGTCAGCGACACTCCAGAAGCGAAGGGGAGTGTTGGAAACAATCGGTCCTAAGCGCTTCTGTCGTGTCGAAACACTAAGGCACAAGCGAAGCAAAGCATACCGAGGCACCAGCGAGTCAACCCTCGGAGGTTGAAGTAACCGCTGGAGGTTACGCGAAAGTCAAAGGTCAGCGACCTTTGACCTGACAAGTACAGCGCGACAGCAAGGACACACAACTGACTCGCTACAGAGCAGTTGCCCGAGTCGTCACTGTATCGAACCGCAACAGCAACAAGTAAAACAGTTATAACCGTATCCTTTCATATTCCTTGTACTCCTATATAATCTTGTATCTCTTTGTTTTAATCAACTTACTTTGCCCTCACATACTAGCGCAAGGTGGTTCACAACTCCTTAATTAACGCTTCCGCTACTACACCAACTCTACCCAGAGTTCACCCCTGCAAAGATCCTAAGGGCTTTTTCAGCCTAACAACGCGAACGGTAACTACACGAAAATCGGTGCAGACGGCAACCACAGCGAAGTGTGTACAGTACAGCATTATTTACAAGATTTGAAGTATTGTCATGGTCCACGTAGGTAGGACGTACCAGTAACATTGTACCATTTGTTTTTTTCTGGTGATTTCCTGCTATATCGCGTTACTCCATAGCCTGTCCTCAATTCCAGCCGAGCCAACCTGGGCACCGAAACAAATTCTGCAGAAACAGCAAAACCCTCCACAGCATGCAAAACAACTTGCTACGTACCTGCCATCTTCACCATTCTTCGCACGCCATGGATGCCCTCCCGTCGCTCTCGTTGCCTCTTCTTTTACAGCCACTCTCAGGTGAGGATTGTATTCTGATATAGTTACCTCTGTATCTGTACAAACTTCATGCCGTTTTCGTCTTTGGCTGATACCTCCAGCGGTTCGTCGCTCGCCGAACGCGTGCGACAATAAATTCATCGCGAGAAACGAGCTGCGACGATCGCACTTGGCTGATTAATAATGTCCATGCAGCATAGCCATCTGCGTCCCTATTCAACGTTCGTTCCCCAACCAGCGGCAGGCCTGGCGCGAACTTTCAGCAGGCCCTTTGCATATCGGACAAGAAACATAACCGTTCCCTATTTACTGGTGTCTTCATGTGCTCTTGTGATGGCAGGTGGCAACGGCTGGGTGTTCGAGGAGGGCCATACAGAGAAAGAGAAAAAGTCGCATGGAAGGGAACAGCAGTGTGAGAGAAAGGCCCAGCAGCATGGCCGCAGCAAGAGCAGAGCAGCAGGAATGCTGCCTGTACATGCCAGCAGCGGCAAACAGGGGTCGTCTTCAGAACCACAAAGAACGCTGCCAACGGCTTTGCATGTCTTGGAAAGGCTAATTAATGCCCTCTTGTCCCTCCTGCCCCTGCTCACGCTACTGCTGCTCGTACTGCTGGTTCTACTCGCGGTGCTTTCCCAAGTCCTGCCGCTGCTGGCGGGGGTGACATATCCGCTGATTCGCTACGAGCAGCCGTTTATCCAGCAGGTGGGAGTGAGGCGTGGAGGGGTGAGGCACGGTTAGGCGCGGCTTGGTGGGGTGAGGCGCGGTTAGGTGAGGCATGGTTGGGTGGTTGTTGGGGGTGGCGGTGGGCTGATATGTTGGTGGGGGGAAAGGTGTGCTGGGCTGGTGGCGCCAAAGCGCTGTGGTTTTTTTTCAATCAGATTGTGACACTTGACATGTTAGTATGTTACTCTGCACCATCACCTCACTTTCCACATCCATAGCTCCAAGTCTCAACACTTTCAAATCCTGGAATATTTCTTCCTCTCACTCCATTGATTTTCGACTCTTGTTCTCCCCTCCGCATGCCCGCCCCCTACAGGTCCTTTCATCAACACCCTTCTTCCCTTCGTACTCCTCCACCTCCTCCTTCGCCTCCTCTTCATCCCACTCCCTCTGCCCTGTGTGCCACTCCTTTCTGCTCAACGCAGCAGTGAACAACTTCAAGGCATGGAATCTCCCCCCATACTGCGTGCCGCACGTAACTCGCTATGTCTCCTCCGGGGCCTACCACGCTGATCATTCCGCTGCAATCGCTGCCGCTGCAGCATTCTTCAGAGTGCCGCTGGGTGATGGGCTGAGCCGAGCGGCGGGCGGGTGGGAGAGGAGGGGAGGCGGTGGAGAAGAGGCGGTTGGAGTGCAACAGAGGAGTGTTTTGGGGAGGAAAGGTGGGGAGGGGAAAGGCGTGGGTGCAGCTGATAGGGGGGATGCCGAGGGTGATTGGGTGTGGGGTGAGGGACAACCTGCGTCCAGGGGGGTTAGAGGGAGACTCAGCTGGGAACCTAGCAGGCAACAATCACAGGAAGGTGGGAGTGGGAATGGGAAGACGAGGGGTGGTGAGGGGCGAGAGGAGGTGGGGAGGTGGCAGCAGAAGCGGCAGGAGGTGGTGGTGTTTGACATTGATGAGACGCTGCTCTCCAACCTGCCTTACCTGCAGGCACATGGATATGGGTAAGGTGCTGTCAAATGCCATGCGGTGCTGTGAGGTGTCGTGAGGTGTCGTGAGGTACTGTGAGGCCATTTTCTGGCTGCACGTTGCTGCAGGATGCGCTGAGCCCCAAGGTTGCTGGGCAGCTCACTGTCATGTGTCATGAGCCAGGGATCTTCTAGCATCAATTTTGGCATCGTTGCTGGTAAGCTGGTTCGCGACAGATCTTGAGATAGAGGCAAACAATCCAGCCTTGGGCAGCCAGGCAGGGTGAGAAAACATTTGCATGCCATAATGCCTGAAACTGCTCCTGACCTTTTTTTCAGATTTATCTGCGCAGTTCAGGCATCCGCATTTTGAGATCTCATCTCTGCCACCCATGTGTCTATCAGGTCGGAGCCATACAATTCCTCCCAGTGGGCTGACTGGGTGTTCACCTCCGCAGCGCCACCACTGCCTGCAGGCATTGCCCTTGTCCGAGCCCTGCAGCAGACCACTGCAAGCATGCGTGACGATGACGGCGTGGGGAGGGAAAGGCATGGGGAGGAGAGCAGAGGAGAGGGGCTGGGTGCAGGTGGGTTGGGTGTAGCGCTGGTAACGGGGCGGCCAGAGTCCCAGCGAGCTGCCACAGTGGAGAACCTGAGACGAGTCGGCGTGACACAATGGAAGGTGCTCATGATGAGGTGAGGATGGAGGTGGGGAGCAGGGATGGGAAGGGACGAGAGGTGCTCGAGTCTGTGTTGCAAAAGGAGATTTGGTGGAAAGTGGAGGTTCTGGTTGTATGTGAGTGTTGTTGTGACTTGCGCATGCATGTGTTATCTGTTGTGCAGTCAACTGGCAAATGTTGCTGACCCTAATTGTCCTGCGCATTCCTCTCCACTGCAGGCCTCTGGATGCGAATGGCAATGTGGTGCAGGAAACAGCAGTGCAGTTCAAGAGTCGGTCCAGGAGGGAGATAGAGGCAATGGGTATGCGCATTGTGGGTAGCGTGGGTGACCAGTGGAGTGACATTACAGGAGATGCCACTGGAAATGGCACCTTCAAGCTACCCAATCCTTTTTATTTTGTGCCGTAGCATGTCGCATTGTTTTGGGTATTTGTCTTACTATCTATCAGGGCAACCATTAACTCACTTGCAATAAACTATGCGAACAAAGCTAGTAAGCCATGTTAAAATAAGCTTAGTAGTAGTGCCTAGGGTTTGGGTGCTAGGCAACTATCGAGAGTAGAAGGAAGGGTGGGTGCACTAGTAGGCATGGGAAGTACATAAACGGAAACCTTAAAAGGGTTGTACTCTTTGTTGTGTCAGAATGTGTTATTTGTCTAGTCTGCAGTGGGGTACTCTATAGTGAGTACAGCCCTATTAGGGTTTGCTATATGTATCCCATTATTTGCTAGTGAAACCCCTCTTCTGTTGTTCATTCCTTGCTATCTTGACATGGTATCAGCGCAGGTCGACCCTTGCGGGTCGATCTTGTGGATGGGCCCACCCTGCAGCTTCCGCTGCTGTCCTGCCTGTCGCGCGCCCCGGGCGCGCAACGTTCTCTCCCTGCCGCGCGCCCGGCGCGCGTGGCGTTTAGCGCGCGGCGGTTTTCTGCCCGCCATGCGCTCGGGGCGCGTGGCGGTTTCCTGCCCGTCGCGCGCCCCGGGCGCGCGCGGCGGTTTCGTCACCCGTCGCGGCGCCCCGGGGCCCGCGCGCTGTCCCCTCCCGTCGCCCGTCGCGGCGTCCCGGGGGCCCGCGCGTCGCCCCCTCCCGTCGCCCGTCACGGTGCCCCGGGGGCCCGCGCGTTGCCCTACCCGTCACCCGTCGCGGCGCCCTGGGGGCCCGCGCGTCGTCCCCCCTCCCGTCGCCTGTCGCGGCGCCCAGGGGCCCCGCGCGCCGCCCCGCCCGTCGACCGTCGCGGCGCCCGAGGGACCCGCGCGCCGCCCTGCTTCTGCTCGCACGCCGCCCCAGCAGTTGCCCGCGATTCTGCCCCGCGCCGCGCGCACGCCGTTTGCGTTGGGGGTGTGGGGGTGGCAGGTATGGGGGTGGCGGGTGTGTGAGCCGTCCCCTGCTCCTCCTCCTCCTCCGTCTCCCACTACTGCAGCTGCCGCTGAGGGGGGTGAGTGTGTGGGAGCCGAGGGAGTGGCGCTAGGGGGGTGTCGTGGGAGTGGAGGTAGGGGTGCAGCAAGGGGTGTGTGAAAGAGGTGTGGGACAGTTGGGGGAGGTTGAACAGAGGTAGCCGTCGTGACGTTAGCAGCGCCAGTAGTCCGGGGGTCACCCTTGCTCCGGTAGCCCAGAGAGCCTGCTACGCCAGTCGCCCGTGGGTCCGTTGCTCCAGCCGCTCGTCTTAGCCGCGGAGCACGTGACTCCAGTTGTCCGGATACCCTTGCTTGTGTCCGGTAGCACGTGCGCGCCGCTCCTGTTGCCCGTGTGTCAGCGGCTTCACCCGTCGCCTCCTATCTCCACTCTTCTCACAGTCCCTCCTCCTCCTCACTTGCCCTCTGTGACTGCCTTTAGTTTTGCTTGTGCATGTGAACTTTTTCTGCGACTGCTTGCTGTGCTGATCATACCCCATTTTGCCTATGGGGGTGTGTCAAAATGTGTTATTTGTCTAGTCTGCAGTGGGGTACTCTATAGTGAGTACAGCCCTGTTAGGGTTTGCTATATGTATTCCATTGTTTGCTAGTGAAACCCCTCTTCTGCTATTCATTCCTTGCTATCTTGACATGTTGAGTACCCTACTACAGCCTACACGGCAATATGCATTTTGACACACCCCCATAGGCGAAATGGGGGACAGCAAACAAAACAAGCGGCCACAAGGCCAGTTCACATGCAGAGTTTAGCGGAAGAAATCGAGGGCAAGTGAGGAGGAGGAGGGACCATGAGAGGAGAGGAGGTGGTAGGCGGCGGCTGAAGCTGCTGGCACACAGCGCAACTGGAGCAAGTGGCACACGGGCAACTGGAGCAACTGGCACATGGGAAACTAGAGCAACTGGCACACGGGCAACTCGAGCAACTGGCACGCGGGCAACTGGAGTAACGGTCTCTGCGGCTGGACGAGCGGCAAGAGCAACTGACTCACGAGCGACTGGAGCAACGGTCTCACGGGCGACTGGAGCTGCTGGCTTCACGGCGGCCACCCCTCTCCAACCTCCCCCATTTTCCCAAAACTCCCTTTCACACCCCTCAGCATCCCTACAGCCACTCCCTCGTCTCCCCCACACCCTCCCCCCCCCACAGCGGCATGTGCGGCAGTGGGAGAGAGAGGAGGAGGGGCGGCAGCTGTTTACTCACACCCGCCACTCCCATACCCTCCCCCCCACTTCTGCACGCGCAGCAGGGAGATGGAGGAGAAGGGGGGGCGGGGGGGCGGGGTAGGAGCTGCGCGGGCGACAGCAGGGCGCGTGGGCGAGCAGAAACCGTCGTGCGTCCAAGGCGCGCAACGGGCATAAACCGTCGCGCGCACGGGGTGCGCGACGGGCAGAATCCGACGCGTTCCCGGGGCGCGCGACGGGCAGGAAATCGACGCACGCCCGGGGCGCGCGACGGGCAAAAAATCGGCGCGCGCCCGAGGCGCGCGACGGGCAGAAAACCGACGCGCGCCCGGGGCGCGCGACGGGCAGCAGAGTGGCGCATTTAGCGGTAGCTAACGGTGGGGCCAAAGGGGAGAAGGCTCTAGGAACGAGCCTGCTTTGAAACCATGTTAAAATGAGCTTAGTAGTGCCTAGGGTTTGGGTGCTAGGCAACTATCGTGAGCAGAAAGGAAGGGTGGGCGCACTAGCAGGCATGGGGAGTACATAAAAGGAAACCCTAAAAGGGTTGTACTCTCTGTTGAGTACCCCACTACAGCCTACACAGCAATATGCATTTTGACAAGTCAATGGAAAAAAAAAATATCACTCTTTCGAAGAAACCCTTCTAAAAGAAGACATTGACTCTCAAGTTTGGTGACATATAGGTGTTTCAGGCAATATATACTCCACTAATCTTTGATTCGTTACGTGAGAGAAATGTTATGAGTTGTAAGAAGAAGAGTGCGCAGAATGCAATATTGCGGAAGTGATTACAACTACTGCCAGAATAATGAGACCTACTACAGATATAGCGAAGGCAAGCTAGGTCGATATCACGGGACCGCGAAGGTTGGGTGCTGGTTTGGGGTTGGAAAACTCAAAGGCTACGCGGTGAACGTTCGGCAGGCGAGGTCGTCGGACCGAGCCTGAACTCTGAAAGTTGGAAATTGTATGCGCATAAGGTGCGTTAGTAAGGAATTAGGGAAAATTCCTTACACTACCCCCCCCCCCTTAAGAAAGGTGGCTAATATCAGGCACGCGTCGGCGGGAAAGATAGTCCTGTAATACCGAGTGGCCTTGCAGCGAGTCACCCGGGACCCACTGTGAAGAAATGAGGAATGAATGAACTAGCAAGCAGGTGGGTACAAGTAGGAAAACCTAAAAGAGTTGTACCCCATATTGTCTACCCCACTACAGCCTACACAGACTATAGCATATGAGTTTGACACACCCCCATAGGCAAAGTGGGGGAGAACAAGAGGTCACAAGACCAGTCAAGCAAAGCAAAGCAAGCTCAGGGTGGATCACAACGTCACCACACATTTCGAGCACAAGCTCAAGGCCACAAGGCCAGTTCACATGCAAGATCATATATGAAGGTAAACAAGCAAGTGCAGGTATAGAAAGATCACAGTAGAAGCAAGGTCAAGAAGTGAGCAAGTGAGGCCAAGTAGGCACAAGACCTAGCATCGTACAGAAACGCTGATGATCACAAGACGGAAGTGCCTTGGTAAAGATATCAGCAGTGTTGGCCTCAGAGGCCACGTAAGCAAGGCGCAGCTGACCACGCTGCTGCAGCTCACGAGCAAGGAAGTAGCGAAGAGCAATGTTCTTCGTTCTGTGCTCCAGTCTGTGCTCCCGACACAAGGCCAGCATGGCCTTGTTGTCTACGTACAGAACTGGAGGAGAACGAGGCGGCTCTCCTAGGTCAGTCAGCAGGTAGGTGAGCCAGCGTAGCTCCTGTGCAGCCATGGCCCCTGCGTAGATCTCAGCCTCACAGCTGGAGCCGAGAACAGAAGACGAGCGGGTAGACCGCCACGAAACAGAGCCGGAGCCAAGGCTGAAGGTGTAACCATGTGACGACCGCTGCGTAGCCTGGTCGTCAGCCCAAGAAGCGTCTGCGTGACCTGTGAGGACCACTCGACGTCGCCCTCCAAGCACTAGCCCCATGCCCGACGTACTGCACAAGTAGCGCAACACCCTCTTCGCTGCAGCCATGTGCTCTGGTCGGTGTCTCCCAGGAGCAACATAGCGTGCCAAGATGCTAAGAGGGTATGCAAGGTCAGGTCGTGTGCAGGTCATCAGGTACATGAGGCAGCCAACAAGCTCTGGGTACGGGCCACTCGGCTCTACGGCCTCATCCGAAGGCAGAGCTGAGAGCGAGTGGCGAGTAGACAGAGGAGTGGCCTGGGGCGAGGAGTACGTGAAGTCGAAGCGCTGAAGGACCTGCTGCACCATGTGTGACTGAGTCAGGGTAATGGTGCGCTGTGCTCTGTCCCGGGTGATCTGCAAGCCAAGGTAGCTGCGCAGTTCACCCAGGTCTGTGCACGTGTGTCTCTTCTGCAGCTCGGACTTCACGTGGGCGAGTCCAGCAGTGTCAGCAGTGGCAAAGACCAAGTCGTCGACGTACACGAGGATGTAGAACGGCGGCAAAGAGGTGTCGGTGCGTAGAAACAGCGACGGGTCGGCTGTAGAAGGAGCAAACCCAAGAGCCGCAAGTGTAGTCCTCAGTGTGTCGTGCCACTCAAGGGCCGCCTGGCGGAGACCGTAGACTGGCCGCCGGAGGCTCCACTGGGTACCAGGGGGAAACGATCCAGTGAAGCCAGGTGGGCGGCGCAGCCAGATCTCCTCGTGCAGGCTGCCCTGCAGGAAAGCAGTGCTGAAGTCAAGAGACTGAAGCTCGTAGTCGCGCTGAGCGGCTATGTGCAGCAGCACCCGAAGAGTGGTCATCTTCGGGGTGGGAGAGAAGGTATGAAAGTAGTCAACTCCCTGCCGCTGACTGAAGCCTCGAGCCAC